TACTACCACTACTACTACCACTACTAAAACTACCACTACTACTACCACTACTACTACCTTTACTACTACCACTATTTCCACTACTACTACCACTACTACCACCACTACCACTTCTACCACTACTACTACCACTACTACCAATACTACTGCCACTACTACCACTCCTACTACTACCACTACTACTACCACTACTACTACTACTACCACTACTACTACCACTACTACCACTACTACTACTACCACTACTACTAGTACTACTACTACCACTACTCCTACTACTACTACCACTAGTACTACCACTCCTACTACTACCACTACTACTACCACTACTACCACTAGTACTACCACTCCTACTACTACCACTACTACTACCACTACTACTACCACTACTACCACTACCACCACTACTACTACCACTACTACCACTACCACCACTACTACTACCACTACTACTACCACTACTACTACTACCACTACTACTACCACTACTACTTCCACTACAACTAGTACTACTACCACTACTACCACTACTACTACCACTACTACTACTACTACCACTACTACTACCACTACTACTACTACCACTACTACTACCACTACTACTACTACCACTACTACTACCACTACTACTACCACTACTACTACCACTACCACTACTACCACTACTACTACAACTACTACTACCACTACTACCACTACTACCACTACTACTACCACTACTACTACTACCACTACTACTACTACCACTACTACTAGTACTACTAGTACCACTACTACTACCACTACTACTACAAATACCACTACTAGTACCACTACTACTACCACTACTACCACTACTACTACCACTACTACCACTAGTACCACTACTACCACTACTACTACTACCACTACTACTACCACTACTACTACCACTACTACCACCACTACCACTTCTACCACTACTACTACCACTACTACCACTACCACCACTACTACCACTACTACTACCACTACTAAAACTACCACTACTACTACCACTACTACTACCTTTACTACTACCACTATTTCCACTACTACTACCACTACTACCACCACTACCACTTCTACCACTACTACTACCACTACTACCACTACCACCACTACTACCACTACTACTACCACTACTAAAACTACCACTACTACTACCACTACTAAAACTACCCTTACTACCACTACTACTACCACTACTAGTGCTACCACTACTACTACCACTATTACTACTACCCCTACTACTACCACTACAACTACCACTACTACTACCACTACTACTACCACTACTACCACTACTACCACTACTACCACCACTACTACCACTACTACCACCACTACTACCACTACTACTACTACTACCAAATCTACTACCACTACTACCACCACTACTACTTCCAATACTACTACCGCTACTACCACTACTACTACCACTACTACTACCACTACTACTACTACTACCACTACTACTACCACTACTACCACTACTACTACCACCACTACTACCACCACTACTACTACCACTACTACTACCACTACTACTACTACCACTACTACCACTACTACTACCACTACTACTACTACCACTACTACTACCACTACTACTACTACTACCACTACTACCACTACCACTACTACCACCACTACTACTACCACTACTACTACTACCACTACTACTTCCACTACAACTAGTACTACTAACACTACTACCACTACTACTACCACTACTACTACCTCTACTACTACCACTACTACTACCACTACTACTACCACTGCTACTACCACTACTACTACTAGTACCACTAGTACTACCACTACTACTACTACTACCACTACTAGTACTACCACTACTAGTACCACTACTACTACCACTACTACTACTACCAATACTACTGCCACTACTACCACTCCTACTACTACCACTACTACTACCACTAATACTACTACTACCACTACTACTACCACTACTACCACTACTACTACTACCACTACTACTAGTACTACTACTACCACTACTCCTACTACTACTACCACTAGTACTACCACTCCTACTACTACCACTACTACTACCACTACTACCACTAGTACTACCACTCCTACTACTACCACTACTACTACCACTACTACTACCACTACTACCACTACCACCACTACTACTACCACTACTACCACTACCACCACTACTACTACCACTACTACTACCACTACTACCACTACTACAACTACCACTACTACTACCACTACTACCACCACTACCACTACTACCACTACTACCACTACTACTACCACTACTACTACTACCACTACTACTACCACTACTACTTCCACTACAACTAGTACTACTACCACTACTACCACTACTACTACCACTACTACTACTACTACCCCTACTACTACCACTACTACTACTACCACTACTACTACCACTACTACTACTACCACTACTACTACCACTACTACTACCACTACCACTACTACCACTACTACTACAACTACTACTACCACTACTACCACTACTACTACCACTACTACTACTACCACTACTACTACTACCACTACTACTAGTACTACTACTACCACTACTACTACCACTACTACTACAAATACCACTACTAGTACCACTACTACTACCACTACTACCACTACTACTACCACTACTACCACTAGTACCACTACTACCACTACTACTACTACCACTACTACTACCACTACTACTACCACTACTACCACCACTACCACTTCTACCACTACTACTACCACTACTACCACTACCACCACTACTACCACTACTACCACTACTACTACCACTACTAAAACTACCACTACTACTACCACTACTACTACCTTTACTACTACCACTATTTCCACTACTACTACCACTACTACCACCACTACCACTTCTACCACTACTACTACCACTACTACCACTACCACCACTACTACCACTACTACTACCACTACTAAAACTACCACTACTACTACCACTACTAAAACTACCACTACTACTACTACTATTAACACTACTACTACTACCACTACTACTACCACTACTACCACCACTACTACTACCACTACTACTACCACTACTACCACTACTACTACCACCACTACTACCACTACTACTACTACCACTACTACTACTACCACTACTACCACTACTACTACCACTACTACTACTACCACTACTACTACCACTACTACTACCACTACTACTACCACTACCACTACTACCACTACTACTACCACTACTACTACCACTACTACTACAACTACTACTACCACTACTACCACTACTACTACCACTACTACTACTACCACTACTACTACTACCACTACTACTACCACTACTACTACTACCACTACTACCACTACTGCTAGTACTACTAGTACCACTACTACTACTACCACTACTACTACTAACACTACTACCACTACTACTACTACAACTACCACTACTAGTACCAATACTACTACCACTATTACTACTACCACTACTACTACCACTACTACCACTACTACTACCACTACTACTACCACTACTACCACTACTACTACTACCACTACTACTACTACCACTACTACTACCACGACTACCACTACTACCACTACTACCACTAATACTAAAACTACCACTACTACTACCACTACTAAAACTACCACTACTTCTACCACTACTACTACCACTACTACTACTACCACTACTACCACTTCTACTACTACCACTACTACTACCACTACTACTACCTTTACTACTACCACTATTTCCACTACTACTACCACTACTACCACCACTACCACTTCTACCACTACTACTACCACTACTACCACTACCACCACTACTACCACTACTACTACCACTACTAAAACTACTACTACTACTACTACCACTACTAAAACTACCACTACTACTACTACCACTACTACTACCACTACTACTACTACCACCACTACTACTACCACTACTACTACCTCTACTACCACTATTTCCACTACTACTACCACTACCACCACTACTACTACTACCATTACAACTACCACTACTACTACCACCACTACTACTACTACCACTTCTACCACGTGGTTGTCCTTGTGTCTGTACACACTCACCGTGTCTCCATGTCTCCCTGTCTCCGTGTGTCTGTTTCCCTGTCTCCATGTCTCTGTCTCCCTGTGTCTCACGCACGCCGTGTCTCTGTATCCCTCTCTCCTTCTCCCTGTCTCCGTGTGTCTCCCTGTCTCCGCGTGTCTCTGTCTCCGTGTGTCTCCACGTGTCTCTGTGTCTCTGTCTCCCTCTCTCCTTCTCCCTGTCTCCGTGTGTCTCCGTGTCTCCGCGTGTCTCTCTGTCTCTGTCCCCGTGTGTCTCCGCGTGTCTCTGACGTATGCGGCGTGTCTCTGTGTCTCTGTCTCCGTGTGTCTCCGTGTCTCTGACGTGTGCCGTGTGTCTCTGTGTCTCTGTCTCCGTGTGTCTCCGTGTGTCTCTGACGTGTGCTGCGTGTCTCTGTGTCTCTGTCTCCGTGTGTCTCCGTGTCTCTGACGTGTGCCGTGTGTCTCTGTCTCCGTGTCTCCACGTGTCTCTGCGTCTCTGTCTCCGTGTGTCTCCGTGTGTCTCTGACATATGCGGCGTGTCTCTGTGTCTCTGTCTCCGTGTCTCCGCGTGTCTCTGTGTCTCTGTCTCCGCGTGTCTGACGCGGGCCGTGTGTCTCTGTGTCTCCGTGTCCCCGTGTGTCTCTGTGTCTCTGTCTCCGCGTGTCTGACGCGTGCCATGTGTCTCTGTGTCTCTGACTCCGTGTGTCTCTGTGTCTCTGTGTCTCTGTCTCCGCGTGTCTGACGTGTGCCGTGTGTCTCTGTGTCTTTGTCTCCGTGCGTCTCCGTGTCCCCGTGTGTCTCTGTGTCTCTGTCTCCGCGTGTCTGACGCGTGCCGTGTGTCTCTGTGTCTCTGTCTCCGTGTGTCTCTGTGTCTCTGTCTCCGTGTCTCCGCGTGTCTCCGCCCACAGAACGTCTGCTTCATCGCTCCACAATTCTTCTACCAATTCCACTGCGGCTTCTCCCAGCAGGTCAGCTGTGTGTACTGTACTGTACCTGTGTGTACTGTACCTGTGTGTACTGTACCTGTGTGTGTACCTGTGTGTGTGTGTGTACCTGTGTGTGTGTGTGTACCTGTGTGTGTGTGTACCTGTGTGTGTGTACCTGTCAAACAACAGGGTGTGGCTCTTCTTTTGAACAAAAGAATGAAGGGGGCGTGGGAGCGTGGCGGTGAGGTGTGGGAAGCTGTAAGCCCCAGGCTATTTTGGGCTCGCCTTCCCATCAACCGGAGGCGAGGAGTGGTGGTCGTGGTTACTTATTCCCCCACCGCAGACGAACATCTGTGGAGGGATGGAGGCAAAGCCAATGAGTCAGATGCATTCTATGACCTCCTATCACAGGTGCTGGCTAAAGTGGCCCCTCGGGATAGAGTCATCTTGTTGGGTGACTTCAATGCCCGAGTTGGTCATGATGCTGGCACCTGGTCTGGAGTGATTGGAGGGCATGGGCCAGATCAGCTCAATAACAACGGTAGGAGGCTGCTAGATTTTTGTGCAGCCCATGGGCTTGTAATTACCAACACGCTGTTCCGGCATCGGTGCAACCACACAAGATCATGGATGCATGCCGGGTCCAAGCAAGAACATCTGCTGGACTACATAGTGACGGACCAGCGGATGCGAGCCCATGTCCTTGACACCAGGACCTAACGTGGAGCTGATCTGCCCTCTGACCATCGACTAGTCATCTGTAAGATGCGCCTGCCATTCTTCCATTCCGGTGGTGGGTGTACACCCAGGACCCCATTCCAACCTAAAGTGGCCTGGTCTCTGATGAAAGTTGCAAGCGAGAATTTCATCATCACTTGCGGCTGGGGTTGGCATCGTCCCCCACTCCTCCTGATGTCGAGGGTAAATGGGCGAGGTTTAGGACTGTGACTCATGCAGCTGCAATGGCTGCTTTGAGTATGCGGTCCAGACCTCCCCAGAGACCCTGGCTGACAGAGGAGGTGTTCAGGATGGTTGAGAAAAAGCGACAGGCCCACTGTCATCGGCTACAGAATCCCACATCAGAGAAAGAGGAGGCTTACCGCAGCTTTCGCTCGGAGGTTCGGAGAGCCGTGAGGCGCTGCAAGGATGGGTGGTGGTCGCGGGTTGCTGAGGAGATGGAGTCTGCCTCAGTGGCCCGCGATCACAAATCTCTATTTAACTCCATCAAAAAAGTAACCTGCAGCGCTACACCTATTACCATCATTAGGGGAAAAAACCGTGATCCAATCTCCGACCCCCAGGAACAGGTTTGCAGATTTGCTGAGCATTTCTGTGAGGTCCTGGAGGAGGGAAAATCCCTCAGCCAGGAAAACATCGTGGCACAAAGTGAGGATGACCCTGCTGAGGCTGCGGTGCCTCAAATATTGGAAGAAGTCACCCCCTGTGAGTGGCTGGCTGAGGTGCCATCTGTTGAGGAAGTACTGAAGGCGATCCGGAGTCTGAGACCAGGTAAAGGCAGCGGGCAGAGATGATCTCCCAAGCGAAATGCTGAAGGAGGGTGGCGTTTGTGCACAGACATCATAACAACAGTCTGGACCACTGGACGGGTTCCGCAGGATTGGAAGGATTCCCTGGTGGTCCCCCTCTTTAAGAAGGGGGACCGCACAGACTGTAACAACTACAGGGGCATCTCACTCCTCAGTGTGCCGGGAAAGGTCCTGGCAAGGATTATTCAGCATCGCCTTGCCAGGCACGCTGAGGAGAGACTTGCGGAGCCCCAATGCGGTTTCAGGATGGGGCGGTCCTGCACAGATGCCATATTTTCTGTCCGTCTGCTACAGCAGAGGTGTAGGGAATTCCAACAAGACCTACATCTCTGCTTTATTGACCTGGTCAAGGCCTATGATACCATCAGTAGGCCTGGGCTCTGGGTCGTTCTTCGTGCTTTTGGAGTACCTGACCCTCTGCTCACGATCATTAAGGACCTTCATGATGGTGAGCGGGCCCGGGTAAAACTACGTGGCCGGGAGTCAGAGCCATTCCCTGTACACCTTGGGGTGCGACAGGGATATCCTCTGGCTCCCACATTATTTAACATCTATTTTGACCACGTAGTTCGTGAAGCTTTCAATAGCTGTACCGGGGGAATCTCCATATGGTACAGATATAATGGGAGGCTGATCGATGCCCGGGTGCGATCAAGGGATGGCTCCCTATTGCTCAACCACGTTATGTATGCTGATGATTTGGTAATAGCTGCTCAGTCAGAGGAGGAGTTGGAGACGCTGCTGCTGAGACTGGAGCGTGCCACTAAGAGGTGGGGCCTTACCATCAGCCCCACCAAAACTAAGCACCTGCCTGGGTATTTTGTACCATCGGACACTCCACCCCCACAACTCCCGATCGGTGATGGGGCAGTTGTGGAGAGAGTGGAGAGTTTCCCATACCTGGGCAGTGTGCTTATGACTGGCTCCAGTTTAACAGCAGAGGTCTCACTCGGAATCAGTCGAGCGGCAATATCTTTTCATCGGTTGCGTAACGCTGTGTGGAAGCTACCTGGTCTGTCGCTGCGCACTAAGCTTCAGGTCTTCTCGGCCACGGTCATTCCCTCCCTTCTCTACGCTTGCGAAACGTGGACCCCCCTAATGGAACATCTTCGCCGGTTAGAAACATTTAGGCTGGCCTGCCTACGATCCATCCTGGGTTTAACCAGACTGGATTGTGTGAGGAGCTCAAAAATCCTTGAGAGATCTGGGCAAGGTCCTATCGGTGAGCTCCTCCGGCGGTCAAGCCTGCGATGGCTGGGTCATGTAGCCCGCATGCCCAGCCACCGCATGCCGAAACAGCTTTTGTTCGGCCGGATTGAGGGGGCAAAGCGGGCGCGGCACGGGCTAGAGAAGAGATGGAGTGATGTGGTACAGGAGGACGTGGAGCTGAGTGGACTTCCTGATGACTGGTACCAGCGGTGTCAAGATCGGCCTCTGTGGAGGAGGCTCGTGAAGGACGCTACTGGGCAGTTGGAGGCAGTCGCCCTCCAACAACAACGGAGGGCGGAGGAGCGACGCTCACAACAATGAGCGGAGCGCCGGGTGGCTAAAGCACAGCAGGTTGGCACAGTAGGGGGCACAGGTGGTGCATCAGCCAGTCATCTCAGTCAGTCGACCCGTGGCACCTGGGTCTGCCCCGTGACCTCCTGCCAGCGGGAATTCGACACTTCACGTGGCCTCAGGGTGCACATAGCCTGGCACAAGCGTCGTGGTGACGTCACCGCCACTTAGTGGCGAATGGCGGTTGTTGTTGTTGTTGTACCTGTGTGTTTGTACCTGTGTGTGTGTGGGGAGCGGTAGTGTAGCGGTTAGCGCTACGCTGCGCTATGAACCTGGCGACCCGGGTTCGATTCCCGCTCACGGCCAACACCGGTGACGATTATCTGAACCGGTTCTGGGCCTCCCCTAGGTCGACTCAGCCTAAAATGAGTACCCGGTGCGGTGTGTAAACATCGCCACTGGGGAAGACAAAGGTGGTCGGGCGTGGTGCTGGTAACGACCCACCCCCTTCATAGGTGCTCGCTAACAGCTCTTGCCCCTACAGTCTGTTAAGGCTACACGGGGGATCTTTATCTTTGTGTGTTGCACAGACGCTGTACACGAGCGCCTACTTGGCCATGTACAACATCTGCTTCACCTCGCTGCCTATTTTGGTGTACGGCCTCATGGAGCAAAACCTTCCCCTCGACGTGCTGGAGGCAAATCCCCTCACCTACCGGTACGCGCCTAGCCACTCACCTACCCACTCACCTACCCACTCACCTACACACTCACCTACACACTCACTCACCTACACAGTCACCTACACACTCACTCACCTACACACTCACCTACCCACTCACTCACCTACACACTCACCTACACACTCACTCACCTACACACTCACCTACACACTCACCTACCCACTCACTCGCCTACACACTCGCCTACCCACTCACTCACCCACTCACCTACACACTCACCTACCCACTCACCTACCCACTCACTCACCTACACACTCACCTACAATCTCACCTACCAACTCACCTACCCACTCACTTACACACTCACCTACACACTCACTCACCTACACACTCACCTACCCACTCACCTACACACTCACCTACCCACTCACCTACCCACTCACTCACCTACACACTCACCTACACACTCCCCTACACACTCGCCTACCCACACTCGCCTACACACTCACCTACACACTCACCTACCCACTCACTCACCTACACACTCACCGACACACTCACCTACCCACTCACTCACCTACACACTCACCTACACACTCACCTACACACTCACTCACCTACACACTCACCTACACACTCACCTACCCACTCACCTACACACTCACCTACCCACTCACCTACCCATTCATTCACCTACACACTCACCTACACACTCACCTACACACTCACTCACCTACACACTCACCTACACACTCACTCACCTACACACTCACCTACCCACTCACTCACCTACACACTCACCTACACACTCACCTACCCACTCACCTACCCACTCACTCGCTTACACACTCACCTACACACTCACTCACCTACACACTCACCTACCCACTCACCTACCCACTCACTCACCCACTCACCTACACACTCACCTACCCACTCACCTACCCACTCACTCACCCACTCACCTACACACTCACCTACCCACTCACCTACCCACTCACTCACCTACACACTCACCTACAATCTCACCTACCCACTCACCTACCCACTCACTTACACACTCACCTACACACTCACTCACCTACACACTCACCTACACACTCACCTACCCACTCACCTACACACTCACCTACCCACTCACCTACCCACTCACTCACCTACACACTCACCTACACACTCCCCTACACACTCGCCTACCCACTCACGCACCTACACACTCGCCTACACACTCACCTACACACTCACCTACCCACTCACTCACCTACACACTCACCTACCCACTCACCTACCCACTCACCTACACACTCACCTACCCACTCACCTACACACTCACCTACACACTCACTCACCTACACACTCACCTACCCACTCACCTACCCACTCACCTACACACTCACCTACCCACTCACCTACCCATTCATTCACCTACACACTCACCTACACACTCACCTACACACTCACTCACCTACACACTCACCTACACACTCACTCACCTACACACTGACGATGGCGGGGACGGTGATGATGGTGATGATGGTGGTGATGGTGATGATGATGGTGGTGGTGGTGATGGTGATGGTGGTGATGATGATGGTGACGATGGTGGTGATGATGATGGTGACGATGGCGGCGACGGTGATGATGATGACGATGATGATGGTGACGACGGTGATGATGACGGTGATGATGATGATGATGATGACGATGATGGTGACGATGATGATGATGGTGACGACGGTGACGACGATGATAGTGACGATGGTGACGATGATGATAGTGATGACGATGATGGTGGTGATGGTGATGATGATGATGATGATGACGGTGACGATGATGACGGTGACGGTGGCGGTGACGATGGCGGTGACGGTGTTGCAGGGACATTGCCCGTAACCGCCTGCTGGCACCGCGTGCCTTCCTGCGCTGGACGCTGCTGGGCGTGCTGCACGCCACGGCCCTCTTCCTGGGGCCCTTCCTGCTGCTCTTCCTGCCACAGAGCGCCACGCTCGCCAGCGGAGAGGTCCTCATCCTCCTCATCCTCCTCGTCATCCTTCTCGTCATCCTCCTTGGAGTCGTGCTCGTCATCGTCGTCGTCGTCGTCGTCACGGCCATCATCGTCGCCATCGTCATCGTCATCATCATTGTCATAATCATCGCCATCATCGCCATCATCATCATCATCATTGTCATCATCATCATTGTCATCATCATCATCATCGCCATCATCTTCATCATCATCATTGCCATCATCATCATCATCATTGCCATCGTCATCATCATTGTCATCATCATTGTCATCATCATCTCCATCATCATCATCATTGTCATCATCATCGCCATCATCATTGTCATCATCATCGCCGTCATCATTGCCATCATCATCATCAACATTGCCATCATCATCATTGCCATCATCATCATTGTCATCATCATCATTGTCATCATCATCATCATCGCCATCATCATCATCATCACCATCGTCATCGTCATCATCATCGTCATCATCACCATCATCATCGTCATCATCACCGTAACCGGCATGCTGCTGCTGCCGCTTGCCAGCGCCATTCGCCCCAATGGCCTCTTGGGATACATCAATGGCGGCTTCACTTGGGGGTCACCTCGCGTGGACATCAATGGCACGGGTCGCTTGCACGGGTCGCTCAAACTAATTGACGCGGCCAACGAGCAAAGAGCCGGTGGCGGTGGTGGTGGTGGTGGTGGCGGCGGTGGCGGTGGTGGTGGCAGTGGCGGTGGTGGCGGTGGTGGTGGTGGTGGGCGTGGAGATCAACGCCACCATTCTGCTCTTTGCGTTCGCACAGATCCAGGGCCAGTGGAGCTTCGGGACGCTGGTCTTCACCACCATGGTCATCTCCGTCAACATCAAGGTGAGCCGCCCGCCCGCCCGCCACTCACTGCCTCAGAGACTCACGCAGAGACCCACAGACTCGCACAGAGACCGACAGACTTACATAGAGACCGACAGACTCGCACAAACACCGACAGACTCACACAGAGACCCACAGACTCACACAGAGAGCCACAGACTCACACAGAGAGCCACAGACTCACACAGAGACCCACAGACTCACACAGAGACCCACAGACTCACACAGAGACCCACAGACTCACGCAGAGACCCACAGACTCACACAGAGACCCACAGACTCACACAGAGAGCACCACAGACTCACACAGAGACCCACAGACTCACACAGAGACCCACAGACTCACACAGAGACCCACAGACTCACACAGAGAGCCACAGACTCACACAGAGAGCCACAGACTCACACAGAGAGCCACAGACTCACACAGAGACCCACAGACTCACACAGAGACCCACAGACTCACACAGAGACCCACAGACTCACGCAGAGACCCACAGACTCACACAGAGCCCCACAGACTCACACGGAGACCCACAGACTCACACAGAGGCCCACAGACTCACACAGAGACCCACAGACTCACGCAGAGACCCACAGACTCACACAGAGACCCACGGACTCGCACAGAGACCCACAACTCACCCAGAGACCCACAACTCACCCAGAGACCCACAGACTCACACAGAGACCCACAGACTCACACAGAGACCCACAGACTCACGCAGAGACCCACAGACTCACACAGAGACCCACAGACTCACACAGAGACCCACAGACTCACACAGAGACCCACAGACTCACGCAGAGACCCACAGACTCACACAGAGACCCACAGACTCATACAGAGACACACAGACTCACACAGAGACCCACAGACTCACACAGAGACCCACAGACTCACACAGAGACCCAAAGACTCACACAGAGACCCACAGACTCACACAGAGAGCACCACAGACTCACACAGAGACCCACAGACTCACACAGAGACCCACAGACTCACACAGAGACCCACAGACTCACACAGAGACCCACAGACTCACACAGAGAGCACCACAGACTCACACAGAGACCCACAGACTCACACAGAGACCCACAGACTCACGCAGAGACCCACAGACTCACACAGAGACCCACAGACTCACGCAGAGACCCACGGACTCGCACAGAGACCCACAGACTCACCCAGAGACCCACAGACTCACACAGAGACCCACAGACTCACACAGAGTCCCACAGACTCACGCAGAGACCCACAGACTCACACAGAGACCCACAGACTCACGCAGAGACCCACAGACTCACACAGAGACTCACAGACTCACACAGAGACCCACAGACTCACGCAGAGACCCACAGACTCACACAGAGACCCACAGACTCACACAGAGACCCACAGACTCAAACAGAGACCCACAGACTCACACAGAGACCCACAGACTCACACAGAGACCCACAGACTCACACAGAGAGCACCACAGACTCACACAGAGACCCACAGACTCACACAGAGACCCACAGACTCACGCAGAGACCCACAGACTCACACAGAGACCCACAGACTCACGCAGAGACCCACGGACTCGCACAGAGACCCACAGACTCACCCAGAGACCCACAGACTCACACAGAGACCCACAGACTCACACAGAGTCCCACAGACTCACGCAGAGACCCACAGACTCACACAGAGACCCACAGACTCACGCAGAGACTCACAGACTCACACAGAGACTCACAGACTCACACAGAGACCCACAGACTCACGCAGAGACCCACAGACTCACACAGAGACCCACAGACTCACACAGAGACCCACAGACTCACACAGAGACCCACAGACTCACACAGAGACCCACAGACTCACACAGAGACCCACAAACTTACACAGAGACACGTTGTGTAGGAGTTTCCTGATGATGGTGGTGGCGATTGTGATGGTGGCTATGATGATGGTGGTGATGGTGATGACGATGGTGGTGATGACGATGGTGGTGATGATGATGATGACGATGATGATGGCGATGGTGGTGATGACGATGGTAATAGTGGTGATGGTG